AACTTACTACCAATGTTGGCATAATAAAAAATATTAGAAAATCAAAAATGAAATCCTTTAAACACACCCATGTGAGAATGCAATAGTTTCACAATAATCATAAAACTTTAATAAACTAAAATTTAATGAAACTATATATATTTTCTATATATATACATAGAAGTTTTGACTTTCATCCTATTTTTTATATGTAAAAGAGGAGATAGTTTAGTGTTAAACAAGAACTTAAGCTGTGTAAAAGAGCAGAAAAAATTCAATCAAAACAATATTTTGCAACTGGTCATATAAAATATACATATATATATTTGCAGGAATATTTAGAAATTGGTTTTGTAATTAATATTTTCAAAACACACAAGTATTATTAACACAGTTTTGTAGCATTAATTATTTTCCACGTTTTTCCTTCTATTTTCTCAATTTTGAAATGAGAGTATCACATTATGAAGTACATCCAATAACCCTTCATGTCGAATGTGTCAAAGTGTGCATATCACAAACTTTTACCGAGTTATATTCCAAATTTAATTAAACTACTTTATTATCAACATATACAAATAAACTTGGTATCAAAACGTAGTTAATAAATCAAATTTTAATATTACAAGTTTTAGGTTCTTAATTTTTCAGGAAATATCTTTAAAAATCCTCAATCTGCCCTAGTATGAGAATTGTGACGTTTGCTAAGTATGAAGCAATTGGGAATAGTAGACATTTCAAACAACTGCTCTGATAATTAAATAAAAATTGAGATAAACAGTAAAGAAAGATTTTGGTATTCATGCCCATGCAAGGAAGATGGCATATGAAAAATCACCTAATTCTAGCTTAAAATAGGCAAAGTACAGTTAACCAACTAGTTAGAGAAAAACAAAAGAGCTATAGAGAAAAATTGATGCTCATAGCCATCATAGCAATGCTTAGTAGAAAGAAAAAGACCAGTATAAGTAAACCATGAGTTTGACAATGATGAACTGATGATGCTAACCTCTTAGTACAGTGGAAGCTATGAAAAAGTTGGGGTTAACTACCATGGTCTGAACTCTTGAGGCAGTATCCATTATGGATTGCGGTGTAATCATCCAATTAGAAAGCCACTGATTCACTGCTCCCAACAGGCAACCAATTACTTGAGAGTTTCGGATTTTGTTTGTGGGAAGTAGGATGAGTTGCAGAAATGAACCAATGAAGTGTGAGAACTACTTGTGGGTAGCTATGCACACTACTTGGAAACTTGTAAGGATACTGAGCAAACATCATTTAAAAATTCATGTTGGGAGCTAAAAATCAGTTCTCCTCATGACGAAGGTTCAGTTCAGTTGAGCGGTTGTTCATAGTTCAGTTCTCCGGGACAGAAAGTAAGTACCAAGTTCAAGATGCTGAAGGTATCCAATATTCAAAGAAGCCAGCTCGCTACTCCAACTTTGATGAAAGTTACAAATGCTATTTCTCCCAGTCGATCAATGTAACTAATAAACTAAATGTATAATATAGATAGTAACCTGACTAGGTCCAAGTATACCTCTTGTAATACATAAGAATAATAAAGGAACTATCGGAAATTGCTGAGAAATTAATTGAGTTAAGACAACAACTAATGTAAGTTTTGTAATTTCCTCTTAAGAAAGTTTTATTAAAGACTGATGTTTTGTGTAATCTCCATCTCCAAGTCATTCTTTATTCTAGCTGTAAACTCTTTCAGTTACTGACGTTTGTGCTCAACTAGCGACTGTATCCTCATTTAAATAAATGTGACTGGTGGTAAAAGTCAAAGTTTCAACGACTAGCCTAAACGCCTGCCCATCACAAGTCTTCCCTCTTCTCTAATTTATTCAACACTCCTCCATTACTCATTATAACATAGATATTATTCAAGAAAAGCATAATTTTTATAGCTTTTAATCTTATTTGGTTACAGAGCCATAAACTAGATAATCAGACCCACTTGCCACACCCACCTGTCACATTCTCTCTTTCACAAATTATCAATAGTTCTCTCTGAAATTTTATACTATATTATTTATACCAACAGAAAGCCAAAGATTTAACCTGTCAAATGATATATTACATTACGTTGTTTTCTGTACAGAATGTTGTGTGTTTCATCATTCACTTTCAAATTATTTGTACTCACAGAAATTGCAACAAGCTTAGCTGAATTTTTTAACCCTATTAAATTTTTTTCTGCACAAGTCACTGAGCTACATTCAAACTTTAATCAAGCTTCTTTACTATCAATCTATGTGAATGAAATTAACATTATAATGTATGTTATGATTCAAAGCTTCATGTTAACTAAGTTTTAATTCCTTTATTCAAAAAAAAACTTTAAAAATACCTAAACTTCAATTTTGTGTCACGTGACCCACGAGCTAAGAAAAATATCATCTTTCACACTTCTGTCTTGACTCATGTAATGCCAGTCCTGTAGATGTATGTCTAGACAATTAAATACATTAAGTTGCCCTATTGACATGTAAGTTTCAAAGTCTTTTAGTTGAACGGAGTAGAAACAAGTAAGAAATTTTGTCAACCCCTGACAGGTGTCATGCCAACCTTCTATTTTGTTTGAGCTTTATAACATACATGTAGTTGCTATATACATGTTTATATAGCCATTAGAAAGAGCTCACTTTACACTATAAGCCAACAATGATTATTTTGAGATTGGCACACAGTTGTCATCATCTGGTACCTGTAGCTTCCTGTAGTATTGTTGGCTGCTTGATTTCTGATAGCACTTACAGGTTTTTTCTTAGCTGAGTAGGTTATAGTTAGAGAGACAGTTAAATTAAGAGGTACGTACATTTTTTTTCTATTTCTTAACTTTAAACATTTCATTGCACTGTATGTTGATGATGATATGTACAGTTAGTGATATGATATAGAAAAGGAAAAAATATAAAATTTCCCTTAAAAACTTTTGATATAGGTTATCCAAATGATATGTGAAACTATAAAATGATGAAAAAATTATTTATACTTAAATGAAAATCACCTTGCTCTTGAACTATTAAGAGTTTGAGTGCAAATAATTACGTTTAAATAACATATTTCTAGTAAAAACAACTGATGAAAATAATGTCACTCTTTGTGTACAAGATATTTATAATCTTTAACAAAATTTTATTAGTTTTTGTGAGAATACATTAAGAAATTTCATAGTTACAATATGCATTGATGCACAAGTGAAATACATGTACGGCCCTTTGCACATTGCAGGGGCCTGTTGCAAAAGGGTTAAAAGCTCTTACTGCATAGTTTGAAAGCCAGAATAATTATGATAGTTATAGGTTGTTTGTTTTTTGCATGTTATTATTTTGTGTTCTTAGGTGCATTAGTTGAATAAATAAATTATTTAGTGTAGTAGTAGTAGTAGTAGTACAATAGACTTAAGTTTCATTGACAGTTGACAGCGAAAAAAATACAAAGGTAAGCACTATATTTCTTGTTTTTCATATGTATTTGGTTATTATTTTAAAATAAGTAAAATGTAAAAATTAGCCCCTATTAGATTACATAATATTAGATTAGATAAGATAATGAAAAATAATAATAATAATTCTTAATGAGGCATACTTGTGAGCAGCTTGTACTTTACATAATTTGATATGGTAACATGAGCTGTACATTCTCCAAGTAATTTACAACTTGCATGGTGGGATTATTATTTGGACACAGCTTAAAGGTCAATAAAACACTAAAATTAAGTATACATAAATGAATATTTTTATAAGCTTTAAGCTACTTAGGATAAAAAATTGTGGTTTCCTGTTAAAACTTGAGTCATTCTAGAAAGGAAAAAGGGCAAGTTAGATTTTTGTTTGGTGGTTACGAGGTCAGTTATATTGACCAACCTTGTATAGAGTTAGGGTAGAGAAAATAACACATAAAATATAAAGTTTTCCTGGAAAAAAAATGTTTCATATCTATTTAGGAGGTTTCAAAGATTACACAAATGAAATTTGAAAATTTCAGATGAAGGAAGGTATTATTAATCTTAACATGAAAATCACTTTGCACTTGGAACAGTCAACTCTCCAACTTCATAAATTTACGGCCAAATGTTTAGTAAACATTAATTATTAAAATTTCTTGAGTCTTACCTACAAAAGATTTGTAATGTTTACTGAAAGCTCACCACATTTTGTGAAGCTACATTACATACTTTCAGAGTTACAATACATATATAGCTTCCTGGTTACGTGGTAACAAGGTCATGAGATATACATAAATCTGTTGCAAAAGTCATGAGTTGTTCATGATTAAACTGAACTAATGGCTCTTTTTCATCCCTATTGTAGGGAAAAACATGTTCAATGATTAATCAATAAAAGTTACAACTACTACATTTACTCCTTGTAAAAATGACTTGTATTTTAATAAGAGGAAATCCTCAATAGTGGCAGCACTTGAAATTCTTTTAGGCAGAATTAGACTAAATTAATGTACGAGACCTTTTTTTTCATTTTATTAGCTATATTTTTTGTTCAACAGCAATACCAAACATGGGGTGCATGTATAGCCAATTCAATTTCATTACTCATAAGGATCTCTACCAGCCTACCCTCAAATTGTGATCCTTTTAGGCAGGATTAGAGTAAATTAACCTCCTGAGTACAAAACTGTAGTTAGATCTCAGAATTGTCAAGACATGACAGAGCAATGAGCTCAAACTTTGTATTTAAGAGAAAAAAAAACAATTTAGAGCTGTTCTATGAGGTTCTATCCTGTAGCTAAAAACATCTAACCAAATAGAGTAAAAAACTTTGACTTTTTTAATTAATCTTATGCTCTTATCAAAGAGTTTCCTGCTGAAAGTGTAAAATAAAATCAATATTTAAGCAAATCAACTATTAACTTACATATAGTCACCAAGCTATAACAAGTTAATTGCTGTCAGGAATAAAAAAAATTTTCCATATCTTTTTCAAAGTTAATTATATTCAAGGGAGTGCCTAGAATGAGCTTATATAAAATATATAATTATGTAAGGATACTGGTCAGTAAAAGAACAGTTCTGTTCAGGATCCAAAACTTCTAGAAGAGCAGCAGCTGGGTCACCATGAATACCAGCATTCTGTAACAAACAGTTAAAATGTAAAGGGTACTGGTCAGAAATATGACTTAAAATAAGAATTAGGTCTTTTCATCCAAATCAATAATAGTGAGGACCAAAATTAAAATTCTGGATCTAAAATTTTCAGACAAATAATCATTTTCTCTCTCTCTATTTTTTCCTAGATTAAAAAAAAAACTACTAAAACTTGCTGTATAGAGTAGTAAGTTAAACATTTTTAGAAAGCTCAGCTTGATCTCACAATATAACCTTAAAGAGTACACAATCTTTCATTCTTATGACATGAAAGATTGAGCACATTAATTTAGCAAACATAAAAGAATGGATTTGTTTAGCAACATTGCAAACTTCTTTTGTTAACCTTATGGATTTTTTGCATTATTCTGAAGTTTTTGTCCACTATTAAATAATCAAGAGGATACTATTTATTTTAAGACATTTATTTATACATTAAGCCTTTTTGTAAAGATCACTTTCTAGGAACTACTAACTTGGCCTATATACAAACACCGGTAGCCTTTGTACAGAAGAATAAAATATTTTCATCAAAATAATGAAATTTGTTGCAAATTCAAAAAGAAAATAAATCCACGTGTATGTATATGTTTAGAAAGCAATTATAGTGTTGCCCTAAATACAGTCTTTAATGTACCATTTCTTATGATTTATTCCCACCAAATATTTTTGAAAAAAACACGTTTCATAAGACCCTTATACTTCTTGTGAATCACTCTGAGTGTTTTAACACATGTTCTAATGTGATTTCTATTTGTAGGGCAAAATATCTCAAGCCAAGCCATTAATAACATTATCATATGCTCAATACTCAGTGGGTAAAATATCTTCTCAAAGTCACTGTGACCATTAAAAGCAGCTATATGATAACAGTGATGGCAGCCTGTGATATGTTACTTCCAAATTATTTTACAATTTCTTTGTAGCACTAAAAGATGCTAAAGAGTTCATGTAAGCATAAAGATCTGATAGTGATACATTTCAGTAAAAATATTTAGATATATTTTGAAATATGGTAGTCATGTGTTGAATAATAGTAACTTTGTGAATTAACCATGAATGATATACTGACTGCTAGAGCACAGACTTACAAAACAATTTATTTTTCTGGTACATTCTTAGTTTGGTGATGTCCCATAATTATTATTATGTGTTCAAATGCATATATTTATTTTCATAGCCTTTTAATATTTAAACTTTTCTCTTCATAAATGTTTGAACTTTTTGCATTTTTTTCAACTTTTTAAAACTTTATAATCTTAAACTTTTTTCCAACAACTAACAGCTGATGCCTTTTCATTGCAGATGTGGTAAATTAAACAACTTTTGATAAGTAAAGGAATACTTACATTGAGGTTACTACACACAGACTACAAATATATATGTGTATTATACACACAAATCATTTCTACATCACAGGCTTCCCTAGCCTCCAAATGAAAGTTTTTTCAGGAGTTTCCAGGAAATTCTTTGATAAAATAGTGTCAGAATAACATTACAGAACCAAACTTTATGAAACATTATATATATATATATATATATATATATATGAGCAGATTTCTGTGGAGGAGAAAATCGTTTTTCATAATGATCTTAAAAGACTAGCAAAAACTGCATGATCTGTACTTGCATTATACAATTATAATATTTCATTGTAATAAGGCTGAATATACTCCATTAATATAAGAAGTGTTGAGTGTTTCTCTTTAGAAATCTCAGCAATCTAACGCATCTTCTCTTAGAAATTAGTAAATACATCATTATTTATTTTGCATTTAGTTCATTTTATCTCTAAAAATGAACATGGTAAATAGTATTAAAATTACATTGTCACTCTAGCATTAAACATTACTGACAAATGAATGTAAGAGCATTTAAAGATTCTTCAGTTTATGAAAATTTTAATCATTATTTGTAGGCCTTCCTCCTTTATCACATAATGCCAATGGTCTATCATATATTACATTATGTACCTAGTCTATTACTTGTACTTAAATTTTCAAAGAAATTTGATGTCATTATAAAACTTATCTTTCAACTTTCTTATTTAAGAACCCATTTAAAAACAAAAGTGGCAGCTATGTAGCAGCAGGAACGAAGATATGGTATACTGAGGTGAATGAAAGAAGTATTAAAGATGATACAAATTTTTACATTATTTTGCCTTTGCAACTACTTCATCTTGTTGTTCATACAAAAGTAATATAAATAAAAATCGTATTGCTACTTTATTTTGAAATATCTTTCATTTCTGGTAAAATAAAATAGGAGTAGGCCATTATTACATTTGTATTTATTTAGTTAACCCATCACACAAGTTTAAAAGATGTATAAGTCATTAATTAGATAGGTAGTTAGTTAAGCAATATGTTGTTTCACATTCATCATGGTTAAAGTATACCCTGACAGAATTGTTTCAACTTACACAACTAATAATTTTATTTCACCACCATGTACACTGAAATGTCTACTACACAATAAGAAAAAACTTCATGGTATAACAGATATTACTAAATAGCAAATAACAAGCAGATAAAAAACTGACTTGTATAACATTATATATGAAATTTGACAAAAGCAAAACTCAGAAAAGTGGATGCATGCTTCCCTCATAAATGTTAAGGGCCTAAAGTTAAGCCTACAGTTGAAAGCTCATGCCAAGCAACAAAACATTCAAATATGGCAAACTGTTACTATACAAACACAATAAGGATTTTTTCGAGTTTCCAGGATCTTCCACAAGTTTTGAACAATTTTCCATAACCTTCAATGAAAAGATTTTATTTACAGTATTTCCAGTTCATATGACTGGATGTTTTACCCAGATTAATTCTCACTTTTGAATGTTTTATAACATCCTTATATGTAACTAAGCAGTGACTATCTGTTGTGACTGTACTGAGTTGCAAGTTCTGCACTATATGGCCTTTATACACAGGTCTACTCTTACTGGAGCTGAATGATACTGGTTATATTGAACAGTTATTCAGTTTATAAAAGGTTCTTAACATTACAAACAGGTAGTCAGTAATATATGTTTGACTATGCAATTATGCTTTATCTTATGTTTCTTATTAACATAAGAAAAATTAATCATTTTGTACTCAAAATTAAGTTTAGCATAAGTATTCAACTTACTTTCAAGTAACACTAATGAGAAAATAAAGTGCTTCCTATGAAATAATTGGGTGGATGTACCAACATATGCAGTAATAAACGTTATGAACATATAAATTCATACAAAGAAATCACAAACCCTGATATATGTAATAATACTGGCAACAATTTATAATTTAGACTAAACCATTTTTTAAGGTTGATTGTAGTTCATTTAAAATTAGTTTTATTGTAAAATTGAGAAATAAGTAACTGTTTCATGTATAGTTTTGTTGTTTTAGAATTAGATTTATCTTTCAATTTGTAAATAGTAAATATAAATATACTACTATAATCAATGTTCATCAGGAAGTCTGTTCTCGTATTTCTATAAAGCATTTATCCACCTAGATTTGACTTAACACATTGTTCTTCAACAAGTCAAAGAAAAAATAGTGTTATTAACATATACCAACTAGAAATTTATTTCTCTCATGAACAAAAAAAAGTGCAATAAATATATAATTAAGGTGTGATGAACAAGATCTTCTTACCACTTTATCAATTTCATCTAGTAAGAAAACTGGATTTTTTGTTCCTACTGTTTTCAGACCTTGTATGATTCGTCCAGGCATGGAGCCTATGTATGTTCTTCTGTGACCTCGAATGTCAGCTTGGTCACATACACCACCAAGAGAAATTCTGCAAAAGTATCATACCAGTTCTGTGTCTAACACTTACATTAATTGTGTCTCAGTTTTTCAAACCTTCTAGTCAGCTTAAAAAACTTGTAATTCTTTGGCTAAATTCTATAACAAATACAACCATTTGTTAGGACTTTCATCAACTATAATTGTGTCAAAAAAAAACTTTGAAATCATATAAAGTATTAAACTGATTAATGACAGTTAGTTTTTCTTCAATAACCAACCAGCTAACCATTAACTTAAGTGTTTTGAATTTTTGAATTACTAATTTGTTATTGTTGTAGTTGGTTTTAATTTAGACATTGGTACTGTTCACTAGAGGGAGTTCTGATATGACACAATGAGTGCATGACATCAGAAATTTCCTTTGGAATTTGGGAAATGATTTGAATGATAAAAAAAACAGAAAATAAAACAGACTAAAGTAGATTTAGTTGTTGAATTGATTGTTGAGTTAGCAAGTGTATTAATTAGTAAGTGATGAGCATTATTTGTGAAGTGAGGTGAACTTTTAAAACTTATGGTACATGAAAGAAAATGCTTTCTTTTTTATTAAATGGACTAGACAATGTATTTTTTTTCACTGAATAATTCAAAATAGCCAACCCAACAAGAAAAACTGTTACAACACTGGTGTCAGAAATGTAATTATTTTGAATAAAAAAAAAATCGATGATATATTTTCAGTTTAATGTTTATGTACCACTGTTTTTTTTGTATAAAAGGACTGTTAAAAGGACTTTCCAATCCAGAAAGGAAGCAGTACTGTAGGCTATGTTTTTAACATTTTAATTTGGACATTTGTATTATTCACTAGAAGGAGTTTTGATTTGATGTGGTGAACATGCGATATCTGGAAGTTTCTTGAAGTTATTAATGAAATTATTCAAAGAGTATAAAATTCCACTTACATTATAATTAGTTGTTGGATCAATTATTGAGTCAGAGAGCATTTTATTCATTTTTGTCTGTTACTTTACTTTCGTGATTTTTATATTTGTGTTTCAGCAAAGCACAAGAAATACAGAAGGAGCTAGGAAGTAAGTGACTAGCATTATTTTTGAAGTGAAGCTTACCATTCAGAGAATTTGTAGAACTTGCAGTAGAAGAAATAAAATGCTAATGGAAAACAAACACTTGTATACTTACTTGATGAAAGTTGGGTTGTCTTAATATATATAAATTTTTAATACATCTTTCACTAGGAAACAAAATAACAAAATTCCTATGTTGACCAAGTCTAAATAAAAATACAATCATGGATATAAAACAGTAAATTAAGAGTTCTAACACAGTGAAATAGTTTTGTTTTTGAGATGTAAAACTAAGTTTTACATTTCATTTCTAAAACTCAACTAAAATGTCTATAAACTGTTTAAAACAAATCACTACTAATAATAAATCTACACTTATGCTGTTTTGAATAAAAAAATTAAAGTAGTACCAATAGCTCATCTGAAGATTTTTAAATCCAGTTATAAATGACCCCTTAAAAAAGAACAACTTGACCAGAATGTCAATTCTGTTTTTCAGGATAGAACTTTAATTATTTCTACATTTTATGTCTTAAAGTTAGCTAAAATGTCTCTCTCCTGTTCAAAAATAGTACTATAAATAATAAATATGAGCTTATGCTACTTTTTTAATAAAAAATTAATAGCTATACCAATATTTAATCTTGAAGGCTTTTGAATTTAATTAAAAGCAACACCTTAAAATGAAGAACTTGATCAAAACTCCTAAAAGTTACTTCTAAGCAAAGAAGTTCTGTCAACTGGACCAATCTTGTAGTGCACATATCATAGACTATTTACAGAATTGCATTCAAAATTTAATTAAACAACTTTATTATCAATGTATGACAATAAGTTTTGCATCAAAATATAGTTTACAATTCACCTTTTAAATATTTATCCAAATTTCAGTGTCTTAATTTCAGAAGGAAATATTTATAAAAAATCTTTTGTCATTGGTCACATTCACCCATTTATATTTTGTAACTTGAACAATACAGCTTCTATAGTGTCTAACTAACTAGAAGCACGAACTACACAAAGTGAAAAGGAGAAATATAAAGTTCAACCTTCTACTTTCTAGACTCTCTAAGATATCAATAAATCTGTGTAACCAATTATTACTTACACATACCTGTCTGATGGATGTGTTTATTACCAACATAAAGAGCATATTGTAATATAAAGGACTAATATGCTTGTTTATTTTGTTTTGGTGGGTAAAGTCAGTATTTCACAAGAAAAGCTTGGTATGTGTTGAGTAAAGTTGTTGTTCCAAGCAGCAATGGAATTTTTTAACCTATTTATAGCTTAAGAAAATAATTATGGTTACTGACGCATATCCTCAATGCCTAATATTAGTGCTAAATTTCTTGTTTTATATGTACATTTTTATTTATTGTTATATATTTTTTTAACAAAAGTAAATAAAATTTAAAAAATAGAAACTTATTAATTTAGATAAGAAACTTATGCCCATCTGTTTCTATGCATGACACAAGGTTTTAGTGAGTTTCATTCAAAATTGAATTAAACTACTTTCTTTTCATGATATACCAATAAATATAGTATAATAATGTAGCTAATAATCCATATTTTAATAGTATATAAGTTTTAAGTTCTTACTTTTATAAGGCAATATAAAAAGAAATCTAGAATTTTCCCTATTGTGAGAAGGAAAAGCATAATTTTTATAGCCTTCAATCTTACTAGGTTACAGAGCCATGAAATAAACAACCAGAACCCTCTGCCATGCCTACCTGTCACATCCTCTCTTTCAGAAACTGACAATAGTTTTTCCTGGTGTTCAAAACTATATTATTTATGACCAATAGAAAGCCAAGGTTTTCATATATCAAATGACAGTTCAATCTTTATTCTCATGGGAAACACATTGACAAGTTTAGATGAATTCCTAATGGTTCTTGTCACATGGTTAGAAAACCAAAAAATTGTGATAGTAATGGGACATTCTCTGCTTTTCTCACATCAATATTCTGTATCCTATGGTGCATTATTTAATCAAATAAAATAGTACTTAGTGCACCACTACCATTAGTATAAAAAAGTAGGGTTAAGCATCATCAACACGCAACAGCAAAGAAAAGAAGACCCAAGTAAGTAAATTTTTTTTTGTTTGATAGTAATGGGACATTCTCTGCTTTTCTCACATCAATATTCTGTATCCTATGGTGCATTATTTAATCAAATAAAATAGTACTTAGTGCACCACTACCATTAGTATAAAAAAGTAGGGTTAAGCATCATCAACACGCAACGGCAAAGAAAAGAAGACCCAAGTAAGTAAATTTTTTTTTGTTTTTCATGTGTATTCTTTATTTATTATCATAAAACTAACTAAAATGGAAAAACAGGAAACTTTTCTATATCAGTTAAGTTTAAATTAGGAGAAATAAATAATAATATTATTTCACGAGGTACACTCACAATTAGCTCGTGTATATTGTAATTCGACAACGTAACAAGAGCTGCATTATTGATTTTATTTCAAATTTTTCATATTTTCATTTCAGTGTACACAAATGATTTTGCTACATTTAGTGTTAGAGTAGAGAAAATAAGAGATATAATAAGTATTATCAAAACAAATTTTGGTATATATTTAGGAGGTTCTAGAAGTTATGCAAATGAAATATGAAAAGTGTAAGATGAAAACAAATAATTTCATTCTCAACATGAAAATTACCTTTCACTCAGAATGACTCAGTAAAGGCTTTGTAAATTGATAGACAAATCTTTAGTAAAAACACGATTAAAATATCTAATTTTTGTGTACAACATATTTGCAATGTTTACTAAAAGCTTGCAAAATTTTGTGAAGATACACTTAGTACTTTCTGAGTTATAATGTGTCTTGTTTCATGGTTACAAGGCTGGCCAAGTTGACCAAGCTTGAATACATAGGGATAAATGAAAAGAAAAATATAAAATATTTAGTCAAATAATTTAGAAATTGGTATTGAAACACAGATATACCTGTGGAACTCTCGTCCAAGAGACTGAGCAATAGATCGACCTACGCTAGTTTTTCCAACTCCAGGGGGCCCAACAAAACACAAGATTGGGCCTTTCAAAGACTTTCTCAGTTGTCTGACAGCCAGGTATTCTAAAACACGTTTTTTCAGCTTTTGCATACCATAGTGGTCTTCATCCAAATCTTTTCTATATCCAAAATTATAATTATTAAAACATAAGAATTAGATATATTGCAATAACTCATAAAAACTAAATTATGAATAAAAATATGTAACAGGTTAATGAAGATATTTTTGTAGATGCTACCAAACATTTCTCACCAAAATCGAATTATATATATATATATACTTGTTTCAAAAGGAACCTTAATAATATTTATGTGGACATTTTGTTTTGTCGGGAAAACCAAAGACATATGCCTAAAGTGGACACTAACAGAATTAATAAAAATATCTTTCTTTATTTACTATCTTTCAATAGTATCTTTCATTACAGATTTCTTCAAAAGACTGATGCATTTGCTTTCCAGAGTTATTAACTTCTAAACATTTTTAATTCTTAAAGAGCATAAGTATACAAAAACTGCAAATTTGTATTCAATAGACAAATTATATATAATATCTATTATATTAACTTTTGTTACATTTATTTTAAAAATTGTTAAAACTAGCCATTTGATAGCTAACAACTGGCTGACTCTTATAATGTGTAAAATTAATCTTCACTAAGATGTCTACTCAAAAGAATTTTACTTGAGTATGAACTCACCGGGATTTAGTAATGTCCAGGACTTCAGAAGAAACTTTGGACCATGGTAATTCTGTCATTAACTCCAAATAATTCCTGTTAAAATAGTGACAATCTCTTAAAAATTTAGTAAAAATGTAAGACAGAAATAAAGAAAACTATGAATTACTTAGTCTTGATTTTAATATCTAAATATTTAAAAAAATTTAATCCTCACAATCTCGCCTACACTGAACATCTACTGGGACTTGAAAATTTTTATTTACAAGTGGTTTTTACATTCAAATTAATAATAGCACTGAATTACTCTAAAATTAACTATAAAATATAATTACAAATTGAACTTTTAAATTAACAATCTATTTAATTTTATTGTGTCATTCTTTAATATCTAAAGAAATGCACACTGATTCAAATTACTTTTTTTATAAAAGAAACTGCTGGTTACTTTGAACAGATTAATGCAGACAATGGTTAAATGAAGATAACTGCTATATATAAAACATTAGTTACAACTGTGAAAAACTAACTAATAAAAGTACAAGACAAACTATGGTCTAAAAATATCAAACAAAAACATTTGCTTGGATAAAACTAATGTTATAGTCTGCTATATGTAAGGTTAACTTCATTTCACAGATTCACATAAATAATTTTGTTGATAATTTATCTATAACAGAATCATCCAATAAAGCATGTGAGTGCTGGTAAAATACAGATGAAAGGCCATTTAAAGGCATTTGGTAAAATTAAAATTAACTGTACATAGACGTATTTGCCTTTTATTAAGTTCATAGTCATCACATCATACAAGATCAATCTATGGTTAAGCAAACACTAAATACATCAGAATAATTTCTTTAGCCACATAACTTCAGATATCCACCAAAAAATTGTCTCATTTACTGACTGTTCTTGATCATTTCCATCACATCGTGATAAATATTACATTTGTCAAGCAGTGTTGAAAACAACTTTAACATTCTAGACAATAGGATCCTCGGGAGTTCAATCAACTGAAAAATATAGCTGTTATTTTGGTCCTTACTACTAGTACTGCTACATGTTTATGTGACTGACTTTAGATGTCACTTCATACATACATTCATTTGACCTGAAGGTTATGAAAGCTTTAGCTTGCTTAACGAGGAAGTTCAAACACATAAATTTGTTTTCTAGGATTGTTCAGGAATTCAACCAATACCATGGTAACAACATTTATCTTCTTTAAGGGACCTCATTGTTTCCACACAATTTCTCAACTGAATACACAAGAAAAACATAGAACCAGTCACTGACCTATTATAAAAGTAATGATCTACATAAATGGTTAAACTATATACTTAACTTTATCTGACTGAATTAACACTATTTCATATCAGATACTGGTAATAAACATGTTAATTGTGCATGCAATCCAAGTCTATAAAGAAACTAAGTTAAGAAACTGAATAGATACAACAGTTAAATAAGTGAAAAAAAGTAATACCATAATTACCCTTTTTTTTCTAATCCTAAAAAAATAAAAACATAACTAGAATACAGAAAAACAAGTGCAAGATGAAACCTTTCCTGAGCCTTTACCTTGTCATAGCATGTTCTGGCATATGTGGTGGCATTTTTTTCAGTCTCTATAAATAAAAGGTTTAAATAGTTTTAGTATTCTCAATTCCTTCATATTACACAGTTCTCATGTTAAAAATATAAATAAAAACACAGAATCCTAGTATTATATGTCTTTAAAGTACGTAACAATCCATACTCAGTATCTTACTTAATTTCCTTTAAAGAAAATTAAAATGAAACCCCAACTAAGCATCATGAACTACTGAAAACATAATAGATTAACTAATTGTAATATTTTATTAATTTTTGTAGGAAGTTTTTTTATTTATCCACTAAACCAAGAATATTCAAGAATGATAATTACAATGAAATAAAACAAACACTTCTAATTTTCAGTATTATCTGAATTTTTTAAATTGATCTCAAATGACAAAGAATTTTACTTGTTTGAACAATGTTTATGTAATATGTATTTTCTATTAATCCCAACTTTCCTAAAACAGATGTGATACATAGGTATTTTAGTCTTCAAAAAAAGTTAAAAATAAACTTTTCATAAAATGATTTATAGTGAACAAGTTAATTTGATATCATAATTTGTTTGTTTGTTGTTAAGCACAAAGCTGCACAAACGGCTATCTGTGTTGTGGCCACCATGGGTATTGAAACCAGATCTATAACATTATAAGTCCACAGGCTTACGGCTGAGTCATTGGAGGGTACTACATCAGAATAGCTTTCTTGAAGTGATAAACGTTTTTTTTTGTTCAGTATGCCCATATGTGAATCAAGAACTAAAAATTTTAAATCAGAAGAGTTAATTTTCTCAACAAATTAATAAAACAAGTTATTATATTTATGCTTAAAAAAAGATATTACATGTGTTAAATCTAATTCTGACTAAGGCTTTATTTTTATTTTTTTTTATTTGAACAATAAGCAAACAAGCTATATTTTTTACTATACTAGTATCACAAAAGAGTTAATTACTTACACTGACATACTGCTTTATAAGTACTTTCATGAAATCAAGCTGATCCATCTTTTTCTTAGATAACAGATTAGGCTCAGAACAGTACAGATTCCACAAGATGCCAAAAGATGTATACTTCAGTTGTAGTAAATTCAATGAAAATATTTGTTGGGAAATGGTTCACAAATGTTGGTGCATGTGACATTTAAGCTGATCATTTCAACTAAAATCCAGTGCTTATGTTAGCTAAAGAGTATGACTGAAATTATTGTTATGCTCTTTAAATTAATTTCAGATAATAGAAGTGAAAGGAATTGTTGCATCATCAACTTGAAAAAGCCCTTATCCATCAGGGGGAAATACAGCATCATAAGGTGAAAATGAGTGGCATAAGGATCACGTACTCTCTAAATATTATTCATCTCTTCAAAAAAAATCAAAGGACCCCAACTCCAGCTTTGAGAACATTCCACAATATCAAACTAAATCCAGCAGCTTGAACAATGCCTAAAAAGATTTTGCTGTATTTGTTGTAACATCAATAAGAAAAGAGCATCATGTGAATCATCAAATCATGTAGCATGCTTTCAGTCATTCATTGTTCATACTTTGCTCTTTGAGCACCACTGAAGTAATACCTTGCTGTTTGTATCTGTGACAAGTAGTTTTACTGTGCCATCAGTACGAAAAGAGCATCACATAAATCATCAGTTCATGTACCATGTCTCCAGTCATTCATTGTTAATACTTTGCTCTTTGAGCACCATTGAAGTAATACCTTGCTGTTTGTATCTGTGACAAGTAGTTTTTGGACTGGTTGTTATTTGCCATATGATAGTTCGTGAAACATCATTCTCATAGTATTATTAGAAACTATCAAATACTAACAGTGTTGAAGGTATTAATCAACTGAGTTATAATCTATTTTGTTGAGTTACAAGCAGATGGCAGACGCAGTGTTTCTGTGGCCAAGATACTGCTTTCAATTACGACTGTTGAGAAACACCGATGACAGACTTATTTAAGTAGCCAGTCAAAGACATAATCTATAATAAGATGTTCATGTTAAGCAGGCACCTGTTATCACACCCTTTTGAAACATGCAAATTTTTGCTCTCACCCAGTAATTTGTAGACAAACAACAATATGGCTACATCTGTACATAAACAGGATTCAAGCAATCACCTGGTCCATCACATGATTAGTTTACTTATCAACTTCACATAAATGAAAAGTTGGGGGAGGGGGACTAAAAAAGTGGCCAATCAGTGTAACAAAAAACTCAAATCTGGATTACAACTGTGCATATTATAGCAATTTTATTAACAAAAACTAGTTCACAATTGAGCTTACTGTGAACTTGACAAGACAAGATTACATAATACTTTGAATTGTAAATGATTACCTTACCTGCAACTCCTTTACTGCAACCTTCTGGACATAACTTGGCATTCCAGCAGCTCTATGAATCACAAAGAAAACAGAATCAACAGAAGGCTAGATTGCTTTACAAATTTACTGCAAAAACTGGGCTCGCAAATTTGTTCATTGTTGTAATTAATTTTAGTAAGTACAAGATGTCCTCATAATGTATTTGTTAAGAGAAATAATATTTCTTCTTCACTTCAGAACTGCAAAGAATGATTTTAACAAAGATAATACAAGAAAATTATAATTAGTATTTGGTCAGAAAACTAAATCAACAAGAAGTTTCCTCTAATACTTAGTGCCTTCATCTCATGTTTTAAAAGTGTTTTTGAAACACTTAATAGGATAGGTAAACCTGTCAACATACTTTTACAAATACGTGTATCAAATAAATAAAGAAGCTTGTTAAACACGTGTACACATTCAAGTTGTGTAAAACACATACAGATTAGAAGTATACAAAAAAAGGCTGATTTGACTGTTATGACTACTAAATGTATCAGAATTTGAAATATTACTACATTTCATCTTGAAAAATTTACTCAAAAGTGGACAAAGTGTTCCTTTAGAACATTGTAAAAGACAGCAGTGGATAGAATGTAATTCAAAAACTTTGTGAGGCTATAGTAGTGACTGGCAAGGTTGTCCCTTGAGGAAGCTATCAAAATATAGATTAGGTAAACTATCTTGTTAATGAAACTTTTGGTAATAGTAGTTGGTGGGTTGCATCTACAGAAAGAAAATCTGAAGTACCTGAAAAGAAGATGTATTACTGGACAAAACAAAAAGAAGGCAAATCACGATATCAATCTAAGATGGAAAAGTTAGATAATAAGTATATATTATATCCTACAACAATAAACTGAAGGCATAGCAATCAGTATAATTCTTAATAAAAATTACAGTGAGACAGGTCCTAAAAACAATGTTAAAATTCTGCAGGATTGTCTTCACAATGTCTGCGATTCCTATAAAAGAAAATGTGATAAAAATGAGGACAAAAATGACAGAATTAATCAGCATACACTGAAAGAAAAAAGTTAGAAGCTTGCAAAGGTACAAGTAATGTGACATTCAACTCTACAACATGAAAGAGATCCTACTGTCTACTGGCATTTCCATGAACATATGTGTGGAAAAGGTACAAATTACATAAATGAACACAACAATTTTAACTTTGCAAGTGACCTACTAAACTACACAATGAGAAAAAAATATTTTAACAATGTTCATTTTTCAACAACATTAAAAACAAACATTTAACAAAAACTTTGCTATCAGAGTTGTTGTTTTGTGTGATAAGAAGTTGGATAAGTCAAGATAACATAAAAAAATGAACAAATCTGGTTTATGAATGGCAAAATACCAGTATATTTCAAAATATATCAACAATTTTTAATGATAATATTAACAAAAAAGAAAGGAATGTGCAAGACAAACATAGTGAATTGTGTGTTGTTCTATGAGGAATAATTACTAAGCTTTTATGTCATTTGATATGAGTGAGAATGATGAATGATACAAATATTCATTTGCAAAGACTGAATAATGACACTGTGCTTCATACTGCCTAGTCTATGAGTAGATCCTAAATGAATGGAGCCAAAACAACCATTAAGAATTAAATACAAGTGACTTTATGGAGCTTAGTGCAGTATCAGAAGAGAAATGGAAACTAAATTGAAAGATAACAATATGCTTCTACCAGTACAAGAGGTTGTATAGTTATTAAACAAGGACATAAAAGAAAATTTAGATGTTTACACTTCTGTTGAATGTACTACTGCCAGTGTTTGATGGCATAATTCTTCTTATAAACATCACAATCTTTGCCTCTCAGCAGTTTTGTGCAAACAATTCTTCGAAGATTTTGTATATTATTTTCAGAAATCTCAATGAAATAACTTGTACTTGAAATGCAGTTCTCTTTCACAAGTAAGATATTGACAATTATGATGATTTGTACAAGTGTATTTTATTTAAATAAATAATGTACCAGTAACTAGATTTTTAGACTGTACTTCAAAATCAATACATTTTGATAATGGTAGCTATTAACTGTATATTATTCTCACAAATTTTAAAGTAACTCACAAAGTTTAAATAATTTGTGGCAACAACAGGATGTGATATATAAACAGATGTATATTTTTTTTTCTTCAAAAATATTCTTAGATTTGAAAATAAAGGTATTTTTAACAGGGATTTGACAGTGATGAATTTTTTGCACACAATAGAAAATATTTTGATAGGTGTTGAAATTATGTAAAAATCATATGAAGATTTGACATTTAAATATTAGTATTATGCAATTAATTACAATTTACACAACTTTACTGCTTTTGGGATATTTAAGTGTAATTTCAGTTCATTACAGAGATTAAAAAAAACTTGAAACTGTGTATTAAAAACAGCCAAATTTTAAGTTGCGTGAAATGTCACATATATATTACTGGTATATAAAGTGGTCAACTGTTGTTACTAAAAGTAAGAATCAACCTTAACTTAAGATATGATTTATGATGTCCTTCTATAAAAACTGTTGTAAATAGTATTGGGATGGATTTCCCTTGAAAAAACCAAACAGATTAATTTTAGACTGTTAAAAAAAGTTTATTCATCTTCATTTGATTATTTTGATATATAGATAAAACTGTTTCCTATCAGGTGTTATTCATATAAATTAAACTCAAACTTACTTTATTTTTCGTTCCAACAAAATAATATCATCCTCTTCCATATCTTCATCATCAAAGTCAAATTTTTGACGATTACCTCGGATTGGTACAATCTTTTCCACTTGCATAGGTCGTGTTATTCCTCCATCTTTCTTGGAGTTCTGGAGTAGTTTGATATTCTATTGGAGAGCAGGAACACAAACACAAATATTTTCCCACAAAATATACTATGTATAACTCAAACAGGTAATATATATATATATATATTCAAGACTTTGAAATATGGGTAAAAGGTAAACTGTTCACAATAGATACTACATTATTAAAAACAATTAAAGAACAGTTAGAGTTTTCTATATTCTAGCTATGACAATACATAACCATTACTATTGAATAATGTCACTGGCACCCCAATTTAATTTTTGTGCAAGACAAGTGTTAGATGACCAGTTTTATGTTCTACTATGCAAGTATTTATTACTCGAGTCAATGCCCACAACTACTCCTTTGGTACTATGCACTTTGCAGCCTAATAAAATTATCAGTGAACATCTGTTAACCCTTTCAAGATGGGTCACAGGTGAAAAGCCATGTCATCTCATTTGTTGACTCACATTAAACATTTTATTCAACTACTATTTCATGATTTTATGTCAATAAGTTTGGTATCAAACTGTAGATTATAATTCGAATTTTAATACTATACATTACCCAATTTCTTAATTTAAAAGTAAATATTAAAAAACACAGATAAACATTGATTTTTGTGTGTCGTGTGGTATGTTAAATGCAGCACTGGTTCAAATTAGGTTTGTGAAGTCAAAATACTAAGTCTATAGTTTCATATGAATTAGAACCTCAAATTATCGATATTGACAAGCTAGAATATAAAACAAGACCGTCTTATCTTTTCTATTTGCTAAGATATTGCTCATGTAATAAATCAAACACAGTGGCACCCTGCCAACCTCTTTCCATTTTAGGAAATGCTTCCTTATATACACTTACTTCTACATATGACATGAATAACCAATTGGAAGCTAAGAATGTCCCCTAGTGGCTTTCTCAGACATTTTTTAGATTAAAATCATCTTAGTTACTAAGCTTGTTAAATTATAGTGGAATTATATGGTATTGATGTAGTAATTTATGATTTTTTTAGTTATTCAAATTTATATATGTTATGTATATATAAAACCTAAAAACATTATTTTGTTTCATATCCTCCACATGCAAACATTTTTAAAGGCTTAGCAATCTATGTAAGGTTGGTTGGTTGGTGTTTTATGGCGCAAAGCAGCTAGGCTATCTGCGCCAAACAACCGGTAAAAGCA